CTTTCCTGCCTTCCATCCTCCCTCCCTTCCTTTATTATTATATCTATTATATATATATATTATATATGCGCGCTGTTAGAAGGTGAAAGTAGAACTGAAAACCTCATGAAAGGGAAGTGACATTTGTGATTTCTGAAATGTTCCTTTGAAGGTTCTATTATATGATGGACTGGCTTACCATACCGTTGATTACCTCTGCCTGGTGACGGTTGTGCTGGGTCAGACTGCTCGACCTCCACGGCATCCAGCTCAGCTTGTTCACAGTATGCTTGGTGCCGTCAATGTTCTGTATTCAATCTAAAGAAAACGCAGCTTTTTAGTACAGAATGATTTTGTTTTTAATTATTTTTAAGCAGAATTATTTTGATAAACACCTAAGCTGTTTTGTTAAGGAATACATTACACAAATTATTAGTATCCTATCTTAAAGCTTGTCCTCTCCTAAATTTATATTTATTAAAAAAAAAAAAACTTCCTGAAACCCTGAACTAAGTTCAACTCCTATACATAAAACAAAACATTTTTCTATGTTTTTACGTTCTCCTAACCCTAAATATCTAGGCGAAATTTAAAATGCCCAAGCACTCTGGATTTAAGACGATAAAACTGTTTAGCCAAGGGGGAACAAGTGGGAGAACCACTGATTTTCAGGGGTGGCCATTAATACCCTTTGGCCCCCTCAAGGTGGCACCCCAGGCTGGTTCATGTCTTCTTTTTTTCTTTTCCTCCCCTGACGAACAAAACGGCTGATCACTCAAATGGAGGGCTCAGATGCCGGTGATATCGATGTCCTGAAAGTAAATGTGTAAAAAAAATTTGAGGGACATGACTCTTTTTAGGGACTCGTGCACCTTTAATATCTGCATCCCCTTTCCTGTATTTCTGTTTTCATTCAGGCATTCTGTGCAGCAAATTTATCTGTTGGGTACACAAGTTTAAAATATCTCACTCGCAGTTCGTGTGATATGTGCACGCAGATTGCAGGTGCAGCTGTCCGACGCTGCGCCCTCACTAAATGATTCCCAGTGACATCTGGGTAACCGCAGTTCGGTCCTCACTCGACTTCATCAGCAGACTGTGTTATCGTCCAGCAGCAGGGAAACGTTCTAACGCTTTTTGTTTTAAAGCAGCACTTGTAATTGTCTTTAAGTTCTTATTTCACAACGGAAGTTTACAGCATGTGAAAGCTGTGGTAAATTTTATTTTTTGATCGTGGATGAGTTGTATTTTTTTATTTTATTTTATTTTTAAAGCATGGATAAGGAGAAAGGGACACCTGGATATCACTACTGATAACTCCTGATTTATTAGTCACAAAATAGTTTATACAGCTTTATGATTTTAAAACTATAAAGTTTAAAATTGTTACAGATTCAATCCGTTAGATGGCGCCAATATCAAAGTTTCTACTTCCAGCCTGTGGGGTTACTGTTAATGACTACTTTTTTTTTTTTTAAGTTTAATTTACTTTGAATTTTAAGCATCATTAAATTTGATGCCACCACAGCTGAATGGTTTAAAATCCGATTCATTTTGTGCTTCACACAGACATGCCAAAAAGTGTAACTACACAATTGTTTGTTAAAGGAATACTTTGTACATGTTTACCTTTTTTCTACTAGAGCTCACTTCAACAATAGATATCTAACCTGTTGTAGATGGTTCAACAGTTCTGGGGGAGAAAAAAATATTCTGATGAACTAACTGCTGGTTTGAGTAGGACCAAGACTAAAGTGGGTTGCTACCAATAAGTTGTCACATCTCAGAGCCTTCAGCGGTTCATGCTCAGACCTTTACACTGCTGCCAATCCACCATTTTTTTTACGTTACAATATTTATTTGATGCATATTGCCCGCCACCCTTGATGCCAAAGATTTAAACAATACAGAGGTTGAACCGGAAAATAACGTTAAGTTCAACCCCGTGAAACATTGCATGATCTCATGAGATACGGTGGCGTGGATTATTATGCGGCTACTACAAACCAAACTTTGCTCTGTTAAATTGACTGAGCTGCAGCCATCTTTAGGGTGACCATCCTGAATTGGGTCGACTCAAGAAGTTGATCTGTTGTAGAAACAGTGAAGGAGTTTAAATGAAATTAGCCCAGTGGTTCATGAAGTATTTTGGCAACAGTACACGTGCAGATATGAGAGAAACAGTGTTTCTCTTTTGGCAGTGGGTGAAACTAACTCTGTGATGTGAAGCATCTTTTTTTTTTTTTTTTTTGTGTTGACACATCCAACTCCAGTGAGCAGAGGCTCTGAAGGTTTGGAGTCTGTCATGGTGGGTGAATAGAGATCTCCTCCTCCATTGTGGCCTCTCAGACAGGCAGGCAGTGTGCCAGCAGGTAACTGATACCTGTGGGCTACTGGGAAAGTGTCGCACCTCGAGATCTCACACAGACAGACGCTGCCAGGGGACAGGACAGGAGGAGAGTGGTTCTCCTTTCAAGCTCTTCAGGTTGCAGATGTTTGGTTTTGAAGTGAGAGGAGAATGAAAGTAAACGGCCCCAATCAAAACAAACTAATCAAATGGTTTGTTTTCTTTTGTCAAACTCTTTGTAGATTTAAGTTAAACAGGTCAATTTTATATTTTACCACTGAGCTACAGTACTAGCATCTTGGTACGTTATGTATCAAAGTTACTAGTTGACAAAGTACTAGCAAGCTAGCTAATGAACATCTTTGCAAGATATTGGCCAAGAAAATGTTTTCTAGTTCTATATCTGCTCTTTAATCTCTAGTATTTCTAGGAGCTTTTGATGCCAGAAATGAGCAGATTTCAGTACCGCAGGAAAGAAAAGAAAAAAAAAAACTCTAAAAAACTGACAAGAACTGAACTTTGGGGAATAGGAATGTATTGTTTTGGAAGGAAGTGTAGTGGCGAAGTGACTAGGCAGCCAGGATTTTAGGAATTCACAAGTTAAAATTGTTTATTTTTTTAAATTTGTTCTTAGTCAACATGTCCATAATGTCTACCCAACACTGAGTTTAGGAGTTGTTTATTTGCAAACATGACAAAAGTCCAGCTGCATGCTAAACTGCAACCCTCCTGCTGCTCTTGGGTCAAAATGACTTTTAAGGCTTCAGCTTTTAAACTGAGGCCTTGTGGATCCTTTAACCCAAGGGGAGCAGTACATTTGAAATAAAAACGAATAGACTGACACGAATAGATGACCCATGTCAAAAACATCTCAAACATGGGATGCATCACAATGAGTCCAGCTACAGTCAGGAGGCGGAAAAGCCGAAGAGCTGGTGCAGGAATAACAACCTTCACATCAATGTGAAGATGGAGATGGTTGTGAATTTCAGAAGGAACAAACACACATGCCCCCAAGGATCTGAAGCAGAAGTGGTCTCCAGCTACAAGTACTTGGGTGTGCACCTGAATGACAACCAGCTGTGGCAACGCTGATCAAGAAAGCTCATTGGAGACTACTTCCTTAGACGGCTGAGACGAGTTGGACTGGGAATCTCCGTCCTTGCCTCCTTCTACAGGTGTGCAGTGGAGAGCATCCTGTGCTCCAGCTTCAGAAAGAAAAGCTTTGCAGAAAGTGGTGAAGGCTGCACAGAAGTCTGTTGGAGTCAGCCTCCTCACCATGACGGACACCTACAACTCCAGATGCAGGAAGAGGGCCACCTGCATCATGAAGGACCCCACTCACCCAGCACACACACTTTTTGCCCTGCTCCCCACAGGCAGGAGGTTGAGGAGCATTAAGTGTAGAACCACTAGACTGAGGAACAGCTTCTACCCTGAGGCTTAAACTCCTGAATCAGTGTTATCATTGTGGAAAAAAATCTCATCATGCTGCTGAGTTTATTCGTACTCATCTGCTCACACACTCATATTCGTGCTGCTGTTCGGCGGATTGTTTTTGTACTACTACTACTTAGTATATTTTTAGTTAACGTTTTTCTTAAAAATAAAAAACAAAATTGTCCAGATGACCTGACTGAAAAATGTTGGATTGTATACCTGGATTGTTGAGCATGGACTTTGTTTTTCTTAGATTTTATTACTGTTTTTCTTTTACATTTTATACTTTTGTTGGATTTAACTGGGACCCTGTGTACACAATTTTGTTCCACCACATGTACAACATGTGGTGCGAATGACAAAGAACCTTGAATCCTCGAGTTTTTTGG